GTCAAGACTTGCAACTAGTACAGTGTATACTTTTGGTTAATTACACCGGTAACAATTTTTCGAAATAATTGCAGAGCGATATAAACTATAAGTGGAGTCATAGCCGGCTGTCACACGTACTCGGTGCTAACAATGGATGCAGTCTTATTCTTGGATTTCAAAAACCACTACAAAATAAAATACCCCCATAAAGAAAAAACATGGCAAAAAGTTATAGTTTGAGTCTACATAAAGTGCATAAGAGCAGGGGCTGTTGAGTAAAAGTATCAAGTCCTTTGAAAACTTGATTTATTAGCCAATGCAATGAAATAAGAAATGTGCTCTGGCTGCTTCTAAGAGGAATACACCAGGCTAAACAGCGTTATATAAATGAACGCTGTTGTGCCGACTTATCTACAGACAACTGTCTCCAACATACACTATGTTTTCACGCTCAAAACAAGAACGTTCTCAGGCCTACCGTTCTTGCCGAGTCGCTGCCACCACAGTGCCATAGATCTGTCAAAGTGAGCCAAACTTGCAGCGAGCGAGCACCCTTCCTCACTGGTCCCTGAAAATGCCTATCTCGTCTCTCCACGTAGCAGCCTTCTAGCTTTGACAGTCTCATGTCTTAAAAGAAGACCTTACTAAGGGCTGCCAAGGCAACTCTCTACTAGAGGGCTGAAGTGAACCAGCTGGCATCTTTTGCGCTCTCCGTCGAACGGGGTGGGTCGAGTGTCTGTAGCATGATCCCCCACTAAGACCAAAAGCACGAGAGTGGGTTGCAAAGTCACCGATGCCGAAGGCCTTGATGCAAACATGGGAGTGAAGTCTGGCTGTCCATGTCTCGTGTTTCTCGTTGCTGGCTCACAGCTTGCGGCAGCGATAGTTGAGGAGAATGAGATGTGAAGCAGAAAGGAAAAAGCGGCGACTACGGTGGTGTAGAAAAGGTGAAAGTTAAAGAAGAAGCCAACTTCAAACAAAGCTAGTGGAAGCTCACTTTGCATGGATCAGGCATATTCTACTGCTTCAGTAAGCTTCATTTCAGAAGGCCTCAGCTGTCTAGTCATCAAAATAAGTTGAATAATAAGTTCAATCAACGAAACCAAACAGCGTACACATGGCATTATACCGATATGTATGAGAATTGGGCCTAATACAGGCCTGACACGATCTAAGCCTGAGGCTCACGGACCTGAGCCCGGCACGAGCCCGATCCAACAATGCCTTACCCGGCCTGCGCAGGGCTCTAGTACCAACTAGCCCGATCTTAGAGCTTGCTAAGCAAAGTGTCCGTCTGTGACTGATAACAGCTCAATGCATGTCGGAATGCAATTTGCTGAAGTTTCTGCACTAAGCATTGACACATAAACTGGACATATCCTTGAGGCAACACAGTATTCACATTCACTACCACTTGCTAAGAAAGTGCATGTAAAGGATATACAGCAGTGTGAATGCTTTAAATGTACAACACATGTTCCTTTTTACTTGCACTGTTACTTCTGTGTGCATACCTACGAGACCAACTTTCCTTTAAGATATACAGAAAATGAAGATAGTAAAGGAGAGCTAAATTTTAACAGCAGCAGAGAGGAAAGAAAGCAATTCAAATTCTTGAATGAAGTCCGCAAAGAAAAAAAAAGATTTTTTTTTCCCGGCTGTTGCTGAGCAGTTGAAAGGTAAAAAGGCAAAGTAAAAAAAAAAGCAATTTCACCACAATCATTTCTCCTCTTATAAATAAATCAATGCGAGATCAATTTCAGACACTGCGATATGAGGTTGTGAAGAAAGAAGAATAAAGAAGCCTCTCAAGGCAACACCGAAAAGGTTTACACGAAATGAGTTATGTTTGCAGCAAGTGGCTAGGTAAATTTCTAAAGTGATTCTGTGTTGTTCATTGCAAATATTTGTGTGCATTCGCATTTGTAGTCAACCAATGTGGTAAACATGCAGCAGGCAGGCAGTGTGTTTGCTTAAACGGGCCATGACACCCAATTTTCGATCATAATCTGTGTTATGCGGGTTAATCCTTGAGCATTTAGAAATAATCTGGCGAAATTTCAGCGCATTCGGTTAAGCATTTAATTTATAAGTGAATATTTTTACAAACAGGGGCACGGCCAGAGAGTCGGGCAACGCTGGCGCTCGCGAGCTGTGACTACTGTCACAAAACATAAGCAGCCGGCTGTGTGAGCGTTTGAATTTCGGAGTACGACATTGTTCTGCGGTCTGAAGCATGTGAAATCGAGGAATTTGAACTTTCTGCTGCTTGGCACTGAAATTGAACCGATTCACAGTGGCTGAAAATGTGGTAAAAGACGATGGCACTGCTTCTTGCTGCACGGCAGCGTTCGGCAGGATTTATCAGTCGGTGACTTCTACGGTCTGTTTTGCTCCGAGATATTGTTTTACGGCCCACTTTTTATATCTGTAGAGAATAACATACCTTCTGCTTATTGTTCGCGCCGAAGACCACAAATTATTGAGTGACCATGTCATGGCCCCTTTCAGGGATTAATTAAATTCAAGGCGATCCAGAAAAGAACTTTGATGACCTTCTACAAGTGCACTCATTTGATGAAGTATGTTCCAGCGATGATTTTCATCACTGTGTTATGCAAAAGTGCTGCTCCACACATATTTAGCCACATCAACCCTTTCAGTTCTGAATGGACATGTGACGTCACTCAGGCAAACAACCTACATGCTCTTCGATGAAACATAACAGGGAGCATTGAACAATGCCACTCACTAAGCTTCTGTTAAGTATAAATGTACAGTGCTGATGGATTGAAATACAACAAAATTATTAGTTTAACGACTTGTATGCACAGCTGCTCAGGGTAACCGTGTCACATCACAAAGAATCTGGCTGCTGAAGGAAACATTGGCATTCAAATCAGTGTTTGAGTTATAACTATGCCAATATGGCATGAACTGAAGACGGTCGAAACGGAAACACATACCTTACTTAGCCCTACCTTGTCAAGTTTCAGTCGGTGAGCAACGTACACATGATGATTAGTGTACCAAAAAATAAATAAAAACACAAATGTAAAACTACGCATTTGTTCAATTCAAGAGCTTGCTTTTGCCATATAATTGTCTGCCATGACCTGTGCCCATGCATTCATAGCCACTTTCAAAGGGAGGAGTAAAGTTTATTCCATAAAATAATGGGTATTGCATGATGTCGGATGCAAGAAATCTGTGCCTAGCCATGGCGACACAATATACAAATTGAGGATCGATGTTACAGTTTGAGGGAAAGTTGATTTCCAGCCACTTGTACTGTTTTTTCCAATATAGTACTGCTCAATGTAGCGCACTTGCATAACATTCTTGTAGCAAGGTCCAACGTAAAATTAAGGCAGCTTCGCAATTGTGGTGCCGAGCACGAAGCAAGTGAGAAGCTGGGCAGCCTTCTTTGTTTCTGTTTTTTTTCTCCTCTATTTCTTTTCCAGTCTTTTCTGTATATCTTTTATTTATTTTCATTTATTTCTATTTTTATATTTCTCTCGTGCTCCCTCTTTTTGGCAATTTTTATAAGTGGTTCTGCCTGCATTATGCCTAGCGCCAAAAGTATACAACACCCCGGGTCCCTAAATGCTCCACACTTAATATCATCATCAAGGCACTCAAGAACAAGAGGACTTCTCTTTGGCACAAGCATGCGCCTAATATGCTACGAACGGCTATGCTACATATGTACTTTTGCCTGCATTACGTCAAGCAACTACAGCATTCAATCGGAGCGTACGACAGCCTGACCCCATGAAGTGCTCCGCACTCGAATCTATGGCAGCTCCGCACTACCTACTTGTGCCAATCCTTTAGGAAGAGTGCAGATGGGTGGCCTTTCTTGTTTCTTTTATCTGTTCCTATTTCCTTCTTTCTCTGCTTCTCCTTCTTCCCCTTATTTCTCTATCTTTCTCTGTTTAGTCTGTTTTTCTCTTTCTTCCTGTTGTTTCTTTCTACCACTTTTTCTTGCCCTCTCTCTCTTTCACGTGCTCCAATTTGCTGGGCAGAGTTTTTTATTCAACTCTTGCATCTGCTGCACTTTATAGGGGGGCTTGTCCAATTCCTATGGTGCGTAGCCACCCTTTATTTATTTTTTTTGCAACGCCGCACAAACTATGGCAAACTACAACAGCTTCACTGTTATATTATCAGTGATCCTATGAGAAATCTAATGTTTTATCAGGCACTGCCTTTCCATGTGATATCTGATCTCTTTCATACCTGCGTGAAGGAACCAATCCAGACTTTTCCTTACCTTGGAATGTAACTTGAGGCATATTGCAGCTGAATTTAACAAAATTTGATTGATTGATTGATTGATTGATTGATATGTGGGGTTTAACGTCCCAAAACCACCATATGATTATGAGAGACGCCGTAGTGGAGGGCTCCGAAAATTTCAACCACCTGGGGTTCTTTAACGTGCACCCAAATCTGAGCACACGGGCCTACAACATTTCCGCCTCCATCGGAAATGCAGCCGCCACAGCCAGGATTCGAACCCGCGACCTGCAGGTCAGCAGAGTACCTTAGCCACTAGACCACCGCGGCGGGGCGAATTAACAAAATTTAGACATGCCTAACTGCGGGCAGGAGTGTCCTGGGGCCGTACACCAGCATCTATTGAAGAAGTATGAACTTTAACTAGTATTACCTCTTGTAGTGCAGTGTTCATAATAACTGATGGAGTTTTTTGTCCCAAAACTACTACATTATTTTGAGGGATGTCAGAGTGCAGAGCACCAATAATTTTGACCGTCTGGTGTTCTTTAACATGCACCTTAGTAAATGGGCCTCTATCATTGCGCCTCCATAAAAATGCGGCCACCACGGTCACAATTTGATCCTGTGACCTTCGGGAGTACAGTGCTGATGAAAAGCTGCTCACATTTATATTCAAAGAAAAAAATAAACACTGCTGGATAGAAGGCACTGTTGCCTCTTTTCAGCAGCCATAGGTAATCTGGAGTAAATATAATGACCAAACAGGCTCATACTCTCAAATGTAGACATTGTGATTTTATTGTACAAGTGATAAACCATCTATAAGGGCACCAAATCACAAAAACAGATCTCGAAGTCTCACTTTGTTTTTGTTGTACAGACAGACCACTCTGTATAAAGCAGCCATCATTTGAAGACATAACACAGGATTCAGATAAAATATAACAGAACTTACAGCTTCAGTGCCGCTCTGAAACATCCACTCTTTAGACATTTTAAAATACATCGAGAGTTTACACAAGAGGCAGTCATAAAATTGAAGCTGAATATCTGAAGAGCAGCAAACGCATTCCTTGTGTAAAAGTGTATAATATATACATGATTGCAAAGACTGATTAAAAGATATATTTATGTACAAAAAATGGACGGATGTTAATGTGATCGCCAGCACGTTTACTGGTTTGTAGCACAGCTGCTCATTGATTAAAATCATCAAATTCAGTCAACTGCACTGGCATTCTAATATTAAGGCCTACGGCTATCAAATGCTTCCAAGTTCATGAGCGTTATAACTTAAAATGCTCATTGGCATTCATTTCAGTAGGGCAAAAAATAAGGATGCAGACACAAGAGAGGCCACATAGACAGGATGGGCGATGGACATTAACTTGCTTTACTGCAAGGAAAAATTTTTTTTTTTCAATAAATGGAAGCCCTTCAGAAGTCAGTTTTGCATTTGCCATTGATGCTGAGGATCTTTTTTCTATTCCTTAGCATGACATTCTCAGAGTTTAAGGGTCCCCATCGAGGAGTCGGACCCTTTAAGTTTTCACAGCTCCTCCAGGTTATCGACCAGAAGTTTTGCGAAAATTGCCATCTTTTTTAGTGTGCTAATACCCTTGTATTTTTCAATGACCAGTTTTTTATACTGAAGAGAGGGTGTATGTATTGGTTCAAGCATAGCTTGAATTTTAAGCACAATGTTTTTAGCCGACTGTGACAAATGCATTCCAGCACACATTGATCAGGCTCTTGGAGAGAAGATTTTTAGACTAGTACTGTTGATGATTATTTGGTTGTGCTAAGGGAGGTGCAACCTCACGTGCGAGATAAACATGTCCAGGGCATTTTAAATGTGCTTGGCACCGGTTCAAAGGGCCTCAAGTTCACTCATGAATTGCCGAAATAAAGTTCAATTAAATTCCTCAAAGTGCGTTTTAAAATGTCTGAAAAGCATGTGTGCTGAAGCTACAGGCTATGGTCAAAAGGAATGCACAGGTACGATACAACCTATTCTAAACTAATAAAAGGGAGTATAGCTGTCAACTGTCTTTGGGCTGCCCTTGCAAAGTTATGTGACCACTTTATTGCCAAAAGTTTTCAGCACTGATTGGAATGCATCGAGAGGGCGGGTTTCTCCAAGGAACTCATAAATTCTGTGGCCGAAGTCCTTCTACAGGAGGTGAGGAAAGAAGGGCGAGCTCGCTCTAGGTCCTCTAGCAGGCTGAGTCTGTAGCCAGTGGCCTTGGCTTACATCCACTGCTCTGCTACCAACTAAAGAAGCTGGCAGCAAAATGCAATGTGCCAGTGGAATTTTCTGCCCCAGAAAAATTGGCCTACATTTTGTTGGTGGTGAATGGGCACAAAGGCAACAGTGTGTGCAGCACTAAGAAGCACGCAACTTTGTTTGTGACTTGTGAGATGGCTGTCGTGTACAAAATGCCGCTTTCATGTGGTAGATGCCACATCCGACAAACAGGGTCTTAATGACAGATTGCTATAGCACTGTGCAGCAGTTGATGCGCACAGGCAGCGAGGGGATATTTGGCAGACTACTACAGCAGGTGTGTCTGTGCTAGGGAATTCGCTGCTACACATGTACTTCGAAAAGGCATGGATCAGGCGAGGCGAGAAATAATAGAAGCGTTTGCTATCAGCGTGAATAAAAGCGACCGTATCAGTGTTTAATCGGTTGCTCATTCACAGTAGAGCTCGAATATCTGAACGCATATCTTGCACATGTCTAAGGGTGTGGTCTTGCACGTGCGAGACCTTTTAACAGTTCTTGGTTTTTGTATGTTTCCTTGCAGTAAAGCCAGTTGATGTCTAGCACCCGTCCAGTCTATGTGTCTTCTATTGTGTCTGCTTCATAATTTTTTGCGCTACCGAAATGAGTGCAAGTGATCACAGCCAACTAGCTCACACAACCGCCTTGACAACTTAAATGCAACATGTGCTCAATCACGACTTTACAAGCTGTGTGTTTGAATTGGCTGTTACTTTAAAAAGAAACAGAAAGAAGTACACAACAGTTATAATAATGCAGTGCATATCGCAGGTAGCTTGCTCAAAAAATCATTGTGATTATTACATCACTAGTGCACAGTTGTATCATAATAACAGTCGCACTAGGAAACAACAACCTTTTCAATGACTTGCAGATAGGAAATATAGTGATGCTTAGCATACAGTGAAAGCTTTCAGTACACTGCAGCTAAAAATGGTTCTACAAACTCAATAAATTCACAACCAACATCCCACATTGCACTGGTAACTGGTAAGTAGTTGCACATCAAGGGATAACCTCAAAAGATATTCGAAACAGTTTATTTGTTAATCTGCATTTTCGCTTATGTGTGGCACTTCTGCATGTGTGAAAGTCTAACATTATGCATGTCCCTGTTATAATGACCTGAAATCTTGTATTGCCGCTGTGCAATGTGCATCTTCCACAACCAGGGCATATTAAAAGAAAGAACTGCGCAATAGTATCTTCCACCTAATAATATCTGGTGTTTAACATCCCATTACCACCATATGCTTTATGAGAGGTGCTGTGGTGGAGGGCTTTGGAAATTTGGACCACTTCGGTTTCTTTAACATGCACTCAAATTTGAGCACACAGGCCAATAGAGTTTTCGCCTCCTGTGCAAATCCGGCCACCATGACCGAGAGTTGATCCCACAACCTGCGCAGGATCTTCCTCCTGGCTGCATGATAAAACAGAACCTAAACTTTGCAATAAGAAACGGCTATTTGATAAGAGAGGTCAGTTTGAGCCATATTGATCTACATGGGAAGAAAAATCTTGGGTGAAATGACAATAAAAAGGCACAGCACATAATGAGCCAGTATAGGTATAAATACATGTTTTACAGAAAGCAAGTTTGCAAATACAGCACACTCTTTCTTTGCAAGGACATGGTACTACCCAGTTCTACAGAACTTCTCAAAATATCACGGTTTTATCCACATGAGTGTGAAATTCAACTTAACAGAGATTCTAAATGTTGCCCTTGGCCAACTGGTACAACGCAAGGCAATTTCACAAAGGTATGAAACGAGAATCGTAAGCAGTGCCCGAGCAGTTCTGTCCTTACTTCTGGAAGATACCAGTGGTAAATGATGAAAAATCTTTGGAAGAAGGGATGTTGCTACAGCCAACGTTCAGACAAGTGGACATTGTAGCCATGAGGTCCATATGTTGAAACGTTGGCTCTAGGCACACCTCATATTTCAAGGACTTTTCATCACTTCAAAATTACATCGTCCGCTGAACTTTCTACCAATCGTGTTAAAGGAGCAACAGCCGAGAGAGGCACTTTTTGAGTGTACACAATAATAGTGACTTCAAATTGTGTACTGAATTTATGATAGAAAACAACAGGCCAAAATCTGTACATGAACACTGTGGATAAATCTTCTATGCAAGCACAAAATTTTCAAACTCAATTGTAATTGTAATACCAGCAGGTGATCATGAGCTTGGGCAAATGTCATCTCCATCCTCGAAACTGAGTAAGCACTCTGTGCAGTACTATTTAGGAGCAAAGTACAAACCTTCATTTCATGCTGTGCAGCAAGGCTATAAGGATGCAATTCTTTAATGATCTCATGTCTCCAAAACCTTTGAGTAAAATGATAATTTTAGAACAAACTGGACAGTCATGTGTCTAGTTTAGAAAATGCAGATGGTGCCATGAAATAGCAGGCACCTTAGTAAAAGCTAGCTGCTCTACTCACTATCTTCACAAATAATGGTACTGTTTCACAGCCTGCTTCCTATGCACATTGAAGGCCAACTCCGGTGATTTTTCAACCATGTCAGGTTAATGGTGCCTTTATGTTCCTGAGACACTCTTGTCACGCGCCTGATAGCTGAAATGCTCAACCAATTCGAAAATAATTTTTAATTAGCGAAAAACAACAATACTGAAACTGAAACCCAATCGAGTGCGCTCCTATGTATGATGTAATACTTTGCCCGAACCTGCCTGGTTGCCCATAACGCTGCCAGATGTTACTAATTGTTCAGGCCACTCAAAACTGTGCTTTGGTGAATTGGTGAATATGGTGAATTGTGTGCTGCCCACAACGCAACACCATGTGCGACCTATCAATTCAACCATGAACAGAGGTTGAAAATTTTTAATGTCCCTGTAAATGCCAAATGACTCTGCCAAATAACTCTGAACTTGCACACTGTGCACATGCTGCTAATAAGTGCTGTAATAAGGAAGTTACTGCATTTAGAACGACTCACTTTTGCTGGTTTCAGTTTTTCGCTCATCCTTCCCACCCTTTTCTTGCTGTGAAGAGGTGCAGACAGAGCCCTTTGTCGCGACTACACCCATTTCGTCAATGTAACGCCTCAGCACGCAGCCAATGACCAAGCAAGACTTCCCCACGTGCGCATATGTCATAGCAATGCGGGGAGAAAGCGCAGTGTGACGAGTACAAGGCACTGATGAGGTAGTCACACTTCCTCCCCTAGCGATAAAGTAGCAAGATGCCTCTCGGAGGCTTTTATTCTGGCAAGACCGCTTGCAATGATAGTCTCGGGCAAAGGGCAGCACAGGAAAATAAAATGCGAACTGCGCAGCCAAGACCGCATTGCAGTTTCGTAGTGCAGGGAGCAATTGAAAAGATCGGTGTTGCCCAGGGGCGATATTTCATTACTGCACGTACGAGGAGGATTGGACTGGCATAGGAAAGAAGCGCAGGAATAGGTTTTCAAAATGGAGGGCCCACGCAGCCTGCAGCACAGTAATATTTGGAAAATGTAATCACTGTGGTCTACTGTGCGAATTAGCTAGCTTTTTTGTGGGTGTAATAAAAAAGCTCGAGCTTTTTTGCTGGCCTTTAGGAGAATACTAAAAACCAGACTGAAAGAGGCAACAGGCTACTAACAAACGAAGGTACTACTGCAACCAAAATTGTAATGAAACAATTGCCTGGCACCCTTCTACTAATATTGATTGTGAAAATTAGGCTGAAGAACAGTTTGCATTGAATTCTTCTATACAGCTGAAGAGCATCATGGCAACCACTCCTGACAATCAGCACTGCTAATTACGATGAACCATGCAGAATGGAGCAAAATTGGATGTCCTCACAAAACACTCACGTACCAGGAACTTGGGTGCAATGATCCGCGAGTTGCAGTGACAACTGTGAGAAAACCAAGGCAGGAGTCATCACATCACGATTCCCTGTTGTAAGAGGCCAGGAGAGCAACAGCAGCGGCAGCTAGGCAAATCCACGCTGATGGCCTTGAGAGACCCGCACCAAGCTACAAGCAAGAAAAGCGCAAGAGACTCTGTGGTGGCAATATTGTGTATATCAGACTTGAACTGTAATACTGTCATTGTGCAGCAACTTCATCATTCAGAACATGAACGTGTTTGCATTTTCAATGCACAGTATGCATAGTACATGACACTGCTTTTTCACTCTCATAATAAAAGCTACATCTATCATTCTAAATTTGCATACTGATAACACATTTTCTATAGGATACCTCTTGTACTAGCTGTGTAAACAATCAATATGCATGCACCTTCTGCAAGCTGTATGTAAAATACTCACTTGATCCATCTTACGTTTGGAACCATATCTCATGAATTCATGTCGTTCGTGGCTACACACAATATCCAGGATAGTTCATTCATTAGTCAAAATAAGCAGAAGTGCGAGTGCAAATTATGATTACATTGTTTGACCTGGATTACCAAAGCTGGAGTGGCCTAAAATTCCGAAAATTTAGAACTGAGAGGCCTAAAGCCCATGATAAGCCATATAGGTGGCACCTGGTGGAGCTGAGACGAGCCAGATAAGCACGAAATCACTATTACAGAAAAATAATGCATTCTACATGATCGCATGACAAATACACATTCTCATAGGCTACTTTTTGCACCAGCATTGTTCAAAATGAGCATGCCTGCACCTCTTTTTAGCTGGCTTCCTCAGGAAAAATTCTCGTGTAAATTACTTGCAGTGGTGAAATTATGAAAGGGTTGTGTTTAGAATTCATTCTCTCCCTCAGTAATGATGAACAAAAACAAATATGTTCATGACTCTGGTTGCACAAAGCGTCACAATCGGCAAGTCACCTGGTATTCCTACACCCCTTTGAATGTACCAGAACACCACACGAGCTAAAAACCACTATTACAATCTTGCCACTGCTGTGAGTGAGCCTTACCAGGGTTAGATATAGTTTCAATACCGCTATCATCATCACATAGTGGCTTGCGAAAATGTACACGTTTATCTACATGCGTAAGCGCTTACGTACGCGAAGCTAGAACTTTGCTAAATAAAACATGCTTTCCGATAATGCGGTAAACACAATTTGGTATTCTTAAACATGGTAACATTAAAGAGTAAAAAACTAAAATATCCAATGACAGATGCTTAAATACAACTTGCTTCTAGAGATAATATTTGCACAAACAGAAACAATGGGTATATAACTGCATATTTGAGTATAGCATGCTTCATTCTCTTTGTGCCAAAGACGAGCCTCACTTGTACATAGGTGTTTTTATTCCAGGCTCCTTTTTCACCTACAGGGTATAATAGGTCAGTGGCAGTCATTTTAGCAGGCTGGTCCAGAATTAAACGGCACTTCAACTGACTCTTCAGGAGAACAGTTGACGTAGTACAGTTGGCATAGTAATCATTATTACATTTACTATGCTGAATTCCAATTCCCTTGAGATGTAAATATTGGCAGCCAGGGCAACAATGACTACTCTGTCATCAGTGAAATTCGTTTCTAGGAAATGGTTCATCTTAAGTAAAGAAAGAAACCTGGCAAACCCTTGCGACTTACGTTTGAAGTTTTAACTGAGTACTAATGACGGCAGTGAAGATTTAAAGCCATTGCTCACCTCTGGTGCGTGAACATGGTTTTATAAAAATGCTTCACGGCCAGTGCCTGCATGATTTTCCTCATGCTACACCAATAATAATGCCTTCCGTGATGAATAAGAATAAAAGCTCACCTGACACAGTTTTAATAGCTATAGATACTGTAATATTTCTGTAGTCTTGACTGCCAGCAAATCAAAATCATGAATAATTTTAACAACCAAAAAAAAAGAAAAGGAACAAACAACAAACTGTTCATACTGCACTAATGCACATTTACCATGAATCACACATAATATATGGAAGATTTTTGCTGTTGCCTAAATTAATAAAGTAAACTGTACAGTACATTACAAGGCAGCCGTACCGTCACATAATAGTTGCAGCGGTCACCGGTACAGCATTCCACACACTCCCAGTCGTTGTACCAGATGCGATCACAGCGTTCTCGATACCGTATGGTTTGATTGATGCAGTGTTCATCAGTGGAACAAAACTTGCTGATGTAATACTGCTTCTCACCGGATGGGGCCCAGTAAGGTGTACCTACAATGTGACATAGGAAGAATAAATGCTTCATAAATGCTCCTTGCTCGGCATGACCCATGTATGGGGTCTTCTACCAAAGAAGTTGCAAGCACTGATGTGGCTCTGGTTGAACACATAACTACTATACATAATGCCTTGGTTAAACTATGGCTTGAACTCTAGACAAGCACCGGCGACATCGGCACCAAAATGGACTGCTGTTGTGAGCTTATGAAAAGCTATACTGAAAGAAAAAAAAAGACTGTGGCCATGCACAGGATGGTTAGATGTTATTGTGGAAGACACAGGGCAACATCTAGGTGAGATTATAGAACCTGTATGAAGTAAAATGAAAGAAGGCAAATGGTGGAAGAGCTCATATTGAATGGGTGTCGCTGGCACTCATACCATAATATAGCATTTGTCCTATTGGAAGCATCAAAAGTGCACGTCTGTGATGTCAATTTGACGCGAAATAAGTGAAAACATAACCAACGCTAACAGTTTGTCATTTCGCACATGAATGGCTTGTTTGAAAGGCTGTTTTACACTTCGGCTATACAGCTCTCACGTCCGAAGCTGGTCGTCCTACTACTGTCCACATCTGCATCGGATAGCACACAGCTAACTGTAGCGTACGTGCAGGCTAAATATCATCCGCTACTCGCATCAGATACATAAGGATATTATAAGATGGCAAAGCTTAGTTTGGGCGCTTGATAAACACGGCCAAATGTGTAGAGGCAGCGCATATAGAGCGCGCATTATAGCGTCATACTTACCTGATTGTTTAGAAGAATATTGGCAGCAGTAACAACAACAAGAGGTAGCTTCACCGGACAAGCTATTAAACTTATGGGCGGGGAGGGTTGCAAAAGGAGCAGGCGTGAATCGCTTGCTAAAGGGTACGATTTTGTTATGTACTTACTTCCCCAGCGAACTTCGGTAAGGCAACGTGTTTCAGAGGGATCACACGTTCTGATGGTTTCCGTGCATTTCTCGTTATTTTTATCCTGGCTCGTACACACATAGCATTCCAGGGCGAAACCTGTAATAAGACAGGCAGGGACCATGTCGTACGTGTCGTCAATCGGAGTTAGTCACAAAAGTCATGCGCGTCACTAGCTGCTTCCATGAAATGGGTGACAGTAATGTACATTCGTCGTGAACACAAATAAATGTAAGTTTTTGCCGATAAATGCAGACAACACCGATCACTGGTGGCGGAAGTTTGACAACTTGGAATGTTAGGAGGAGTGCAGACAGCCGCACCCTGACACTCGACAAAGTTTTGCTGGAAGCTGCTACTCAACAAATTATTCGCCGAGGCGGTGTAGCCTTACTCACAGCTTTGTACGCATCCCAGAAAAAAGAATAACCAAGGAAGCATCTTGGAAACGGGTGAAAATGCGGCCACGATTTCCCAGGTTCGCACGACGCGCATACAACGGCTGCGGTTGCCGAGTACGAATTGCTCTGAGCGTGAGAGTACAGACAACCCTCGAAGCATGACTCGAAGTCGGGGGTCGGGCAAACTTGTGACGTAGTTCAGTAGCGGCCATGTTTGCGACTTCCGTGCTCTGTCAAACGCTGTAGTACTTGTAAGTTAATTTCTTTTATCTGCACACTTGTTCGCTTATTTTCGTTTCACCGAATGTATAGTAATACCTAATTCGATATGAATGTATTAGAGTGGCTTGTAAACGCGATACCGTAACCTGTTGCAAGATTTTTCTGCATGAAACTCGCTCTCGGCGAAAGGGGGGCAGGACGTGAAATTGGTTGTTTGGTTGTTCCTCAGAGTCCTGGTGCAACCCACCACGGGGGATCGGCCATGAAACAGACGGTGCCTCATTTGTGAGATTGTTTTACAATTCGTGAAATTACGTGAAATGTTGGCAAATCACAATAAGAAAAAGAAAGAAGACTCATGATTAGTCGGAACAATTCAGTGTTCGTGCATTGATGTAAATGGCAAGGACAACCACCAAATAACCACGCGTTCAAGAGCAAGACTAATAAACAAAATAAGTATGTGAGAATGGAATGTAAATTTTTCATATTTGTAGTAGCGAAAATGCAAGTAATACATCATGCATAAGCGCTATCACTGGCTGTTGTGGACAACTGTCTATGGAGCGCTTTATCGCCGAGCGATAACTTACCCGAGAACGTGATTTTTGATTGCAGCATGGCGTTAATCGATCCATGGCTAGATAAAAAAAAAACTTTAGGGCCGGAGAAAATAGAAATGAAATCAATGCGTTAAATTAGCGGAGGAGCCTTTACGGCATTTCGCCAGGGGTGAGCACTAAGGGGGGGGGGGGGGGGGAGCTTCCCCAAATTTTCACCTGCCCCCGTCACGGCAGTGTTTCAAAGCTATGCAGAAAAGTTAGCTTCGCGGCAATACGTGGTGATCATATAGGCGATTACGGTGAAATCCGTTAAATGCCACATACTTGCATCCGTCCGTCTGTGCCCTGGAACGATGCCAGCTGTAGCCTGTCCCCCTCACACCCTCTCAGCAATCACCTCATAGCGCAGCCACAAATAGCAACAGTCCATTACGTCGCCACAGCTGTGACCTCTACTCCTTACACTCTTCTGGCAACCACGTGATTGCCGAGCAAGTGTACAAGAAACAAAGAAAAAACAGCGGAACACACTTTGGAATTTTCAACAAGTTCTTCAATATTTTAGAAAGTTCTCCGCAAATCATTACTGTGTGTGGGTATTATACACGAGAAAATACGGTGCACAATACATGTAGAACTGGGATGTACATTAAAGGTGGTAGCCATACGACGGTATAACGTACTTCCTTTTTGTTTCGATTTAGATTATAATCGGACTGCCCAATGCGGATTTCAGATCTATATAAAATGGGTCGACATACAATAGTGTAAATACGGTACGTATTTCCTGAGAAACACAAAGTATTGCTTTCCAAATTCTGGGTGAACTTGTGAATTTCTCCTTATGTTCAGTTTTTAGGTTAAAGGTAAGGTAATAAGTTCCTCCTATTTATTTATTTTTTCATTTGGGTCAAAACTACAGTAGGGAATGGGTGATCACATCATAAACCACATTGAAATAAAAATTGCACACATTTCTTGTTTTAGATGCAAAGCACCTTTTGCTTGGGGCTGTGTCTGTGCCTCGGCGATCGTCCGCTCCTCCACTGCGCATGCGCCAATTCTACCCTCTCCTCGCGTGAGTGCTAGGAGGTGGCAGTACACAGCATCCGCTTCATTTCTCTTCTCCCGTTTATCTCTCCGCCACAGCAGTGCCGCGCGTGCTCCTCCGCGGCAATATCCTAGCAGCGCTGGGTGTTCACTTTGCGGCACACACAGGGCAATACACACAAATGGTAGGGGGTAAGATAAGCGGTACACGATATATACACGACTACAAACACACAAATGAAACATACAGGGAAATGTACAAGTGGAAACCTAAGTGAACACCAGCGCTGCTTCGCATTCGCACAAGGCTTCCTTCAGTGGGAAGATGGTGTAATTTTTGCTACAACTGGACTACAAGGTGACAGGAATACTTTTTTTCTGTTTCATGGCCGTCGTCACCCACCGCTGTGTCGTCCGAGCAGCGTATACGTGTGCGGCTGTACAAAAAGCCATCATTATCTTCATCATAATTGTCGACTATGTATGATACCTGTTCCTAGAAAATTTTAAAAGTTAATCAGTGTGGTTTTGATCTCAAGTATCTAAATTAGCATAATTAATGCATTATAACTGTTATATAATTCATTACCCACACAATTCTGATGTGATTAGTTTTGCTTATAAATCGTTCGTTTCTTGGCGAATCCCACATAGTGGGTGTGAGCTGTACATAGAGGTCATCATCATCAAAACCATTTCCCAGCTATCATCGCGCTAGGCGGCCTCTTCGGCGTGTGTAGCTGAGTCCACGCGTGGATTGGCACTTCGTGCAGGCTGGCCCCAACAAGCAGTACGTGGTGTGGTGTCCCCCATGCTGCAGTTCTGGTCATTGTCACTTATGGTGGCCCTGTGCACAGTATTCATCGTCGATGGAGGCAGCACAACGCGGGTAGCCGACGACTGGCGTGAAGACCTCTTCCTACCTGGCATCAAGGCACAGTACCCGCGGCAACAGGAAGAGTTGCGACAACCCATCGACGGAACCATGAGAGAGAACCAGAGCTCGGCCACTGCATCCGCAGAGTCGGAAGTCAACGAGAAAATCATTGACCCCAGTCCGAGGGTCTCCGGATTGCTGGAGTCCAGCAATGATGTCCAATTCGTTCCACGTCACGAAGCCTGGACGTACTTCGCAGCTTTCGGAACCGCCGGCCTTTTTGCGGTGCTCCTAATCGCGTACAATGTCCGCCGAATACGCAACCATTCTGCCGACGATGTGGACGAAGTGTGCCACTACAGCCGTCTGGAAGGACACAGCGGTGACGTGTCTCCGAAACAGGGCGTTGCGACCACCGAGTCGTGCGACGCGAGCGACCTGGACGCCGAAAGACTCGTGCTGCGGCCTTTGCTCGAGCAGGCCATCCAGACGGACGCGACGCGGCCACTTCCACTCAGTTCGCAGGTCTAGTCCCACGGATCATGATGGGCGGCCAGTGCTGCAAGTCGCTGTGGTCCAGGATTGTGCGGTCTTCCCGCGAGCTCTTTGTTCCAGAGCAGTTCGCCAGCGGATCGACGGCTACGGCGGCGTACCGGACAGCCAATCACGCGACGACCTTGTCTACGTTGCCTACCATCGCTTCCAGGGTGGAGTCGATCCAGGAGATGACGGAAGTAGAGAAAACGCTCTGGTGGAGGACCATGTGACGCATGCAGACTGTACAAAGCCACCAGGATTGGACGGCAAAAATGTTGTAAATTGAGTCACGTCGACTGACGTATAGATATATATACGCGCTTGTTCAGACGTGGAAATATCGATTAACCAGCTGGAATACTACCTTTGGTAGCATCAGCAGTTGGCCCGAACCAACGTGATAAATGATAAATTTTAAACGTCCATGCGAAAATTAATTAAATCATGCAGCCGCCTGAAATATCTTGAGGCAGTGTGCGCTATCGCAGATGCATGGTCCCGGTACAACCATAGGTCGTCGTTGATTGTTGTCCGTATACGTTATTCTTTAAAATATATAAAGAAAAAAGCCAGCTGCGTTGTAAATAGACTAAATGTGCTTTTAATTGGCTTTATTTAGTTATGTTTTTACTCTTAACGTTTTTTTTGCGAATTAAGAGACACCGCTATCATTTTTTTATTATTTAGCAATTTTATAAACTTTCTTGCTGAGTATCATAATATGCATACTTGATGTTGTTCAGCCTGCAGACTAAAGTGCTGTTAAGGTTGTTTAAGTAGATGTAAAGTAATCGCTTTTTCGGCAGTACATTTTAATAGTACATATGCAATATGATAAAATATATTATATTGTCGCGAGAGCAAGGTTTCGCGGAGAATCTTGTTCTTTTACGGCTTACAAACGGAGCAGTCAAGGTCGCCCCGTTCGGGATTAGAAGGGGAAAGCTTACTCGGAAAAGCGTCTAGCAAGAGGCAGGTCCGGCGCCACCGTCTGAGTCTAAGCCATTGTTAACAGGCACGCGTGTCATTGAGAATGACATGGGGACGCGACCACTTAGCCTGACCGAGACATAGTGGCGGCAGGTAAACGACCATATTCTCCCGCGCTGTTAGGATGTCGGGGCGCCTCGCTGTCGCATGTACACCTGGTAAGCAATGGTGTACCCATCGCTCTTAAGGACGCTTCTAGGAAGCAACAGTTAATGAAAGAACTGACGGGGCCCGAGCGTGGGAACGGCCGCCGACGGTAGTCGGCCGAAGGAGGCAGGACGAGTAATGTTAGGCGGCACGGCCTGGTATGGGAGAGAGTGTCCCGTGCGGAGGACCTATCTCTTTGCGTGTTTCATTTGGTAAGGAGGCTTTTACAAATGTAGTGCCTTTTATGAAAGTGTTTCTGTGATTGGTTGTGATGCTGCGAGTCCCAACATGTGATTGGTTTTGTGAAGACTCTTTGTTCGACCAAGGGTTAAAAAGAGGATGTTTGAACTTGAAAAGTGAGTGGAGTCGGGGTAAACAGCGGATCTCACCACGGGAGACCAGGCCATGCAGGCCGAGGGGTATGTCACCATTTTCTATGTTTTGTCTTTGTGACCCAGTGCATTTTGTAAATTGAAGTTGTGTTAGCTAAATAAACCCCCAATGAGTGCTCCCCGAAATCATCGTCATGACGTCTCATCGATTGCCTCCGCGGAGTTTCACCCACACTTATTCGTCTCCCTGGTCGTCCGATGCGCCTAACTTCGAACAACCCCGACGTTTCGCTACAAAGTGGTGGAGGTTGCTCGGTAACGATAGTCCCGCTCTGAAATTATGCCCCGAGTCAACAACAAATATAAGGAACCTACCTCTGACAGCTCCACTATGACGGAACG